CCTGCTCGAGCAGGGGGTCAGACTAGAAGACCTCCAAGGTCCCTTCCAACTCGGTTGTCAGCGTCAGAACATGATAGTAGCCTTCCAATATTTGAGGGGCTGCTCCAAAGAAGTCGGGGGGTCAATTTATTTTCCAAAGCCCTTGAAGGCAGGACGAGAAGCAACAGACGGAAACCCGTCAAAGAGAGAATCAACCTAGAACTAAGGAGAGACGTCCTAACCCAATGGCTTAATGGCCGCATTGATTCACTTAATGACCACAGTGACTTGCTTCACCACCGCAGGGAAAAAATGGCCGTAAAATTGGGCACAGCTCTCTCGACAACTTCTTCGCTCAGCGATGGAAGTTAGGACGGCGCTTGGGACCGCAGGCCAAAGATCCTCCCTGTACTTTCCAGCTATTAACTGCAGTCACGAGGACTAGAAAACTCTTTCGTCACGCATTCTCCTCCTCCGGTGGGATCGTGTGCTAAGACCACGCGCTCCCATCCAGGGCCTCCTCCTAATTCCTCCTCCCGTTCCCCTTTTGCAAACAGGAGCACACCCTGGCTTTGATCTTCTGCGCGGCTGCGCGGCTGCGCGGCTGCGCAGCACGTTGGATGCTTGAGCTCAAACCTGCCAGCCAAGGAGCAGCATCCCGTCGTGCGTAAGAAAAAACGCCACAAGGGGGATTAAAAGAGATCAGCGTCAGCGAGAGGGATTAAAAGAGATCAGCCCTTTGCTGCCCGTCGACATGTATCTAAGGCGGCCCAGTTCAGAAAGATAAAAATTGGGGACGGCGATGTTGCCAATCAGCAAAGGAGCAGCGTCCCACCGGGCATAACGAAAGCAGAGCGAGAGGGATTAAAAGAGATCAGCCCTTTGCTGCCCGTCGACATGTATCTAAGTCGGCTCGGCGTCCACTTACTTGGTTCAGAAAGATGCAATTAGGGATGGCGATGTTGCCGATCAGCAAACAGTTCACCCGGCGTAAGTTCTCCGGAGCCACCGGCGTCAGGATGTAGTAAAGCTTGTTGGTCATGTCGACCCCTCGGACAATTCCTGTTTTAAAAAGAAATTTTAAATTTCGGCTTTCGACCTCTGGGTTATTCAGCAAAGGTTCGATCCAAAACGGGTGTTAAATAAATAAATAAAAAGAGAGAGGGAGAGGGAGAGAAGCATCCGACTACGGTGATTTTAAGACTTGTGGACTTCGACTCCCAGAATCCCCCCCCCCAGCCAGCCGGGAGGGATTGTGGGAGTTGAAGTTCACAAGCCTTAAAAGTTTCGAAAGAAATGCTCTAAAGAGAAGAAAAATCAGGATTCAAGGCAGGGAGTTGGCAGATGTAAATTTTCAGCGGAGGGAGGTTACCTGGGAAGTGGACAACGCCACAAAATTGGGAGAGAATAAATTTTGCATTTTTTAAAAATCTTTTAGGTTTTATTTATCGGGATAATTCCTTATTTCTAAAATTGGGAGAGAATAAATTTTGCTTTTTTAAAAATCTTTTAATAATTCCCCATTTCTGAAAGCTCTTTTGCGGCCAGCAGTTAGAAACATTGCTAAGAAAACGCCGAAAGTTGAATAAATTCACACTGAAACAAAACCAACACGGAGCATCGAAACACTGCAGAAGAGAAAATGACCAGCAGAAGAGAGATTTGGGGGTGCCAAGTGTCTTGCTCCATTACTACAGGGCAGTCCTCAAGTTACGACCACTCGCTCTGAAAAAAGGGGCCTTGCTGACACTTACAACTATGCTGGCACTGACAAGCATCCGATTCTGCCACCGCTTTTTGGAACGGTCTCTAAGGAAATCCCTGAAGTTGTTAAACGGATCGTGGGCCGTTAGGCGAATCCGTCTGTTGATTTCGCCAGTCGGAAAGGCTGCAAATCACGTGACACACACCCCCGGGGCATCTGCAACCGTCGTTTAAATGCATGCCGCGTGTGTGTGTGTGTGTATGCTGCGAGGGTTGTAAGTGTGAGGACCCGGTCGTAAGTGTGAGGACCCGGTCGTAAGT